CTCGAATCTCGTACATTGAGCCTACCTATATATCTCTTTGAATAGAAATTGAAACTATGTAGTTCTACCTAAGGGTGGCCACGGTTCCGGAATCGTCGGTTTCGGTTCTGGAACTGAACCGAAAATTAACGGTTTTGGATATGATTTGCAACTGAACGGTTTCGGTTCCGGTGCCAGTTCCTCAATGGTTCCAAAATCGACGGTTCCAGCTGGTTTTCCGACGGTTCCGGCCGGTTTCAGATGGAAATAGAACCGTCGATTCCGATTGGAGCTGTAACTGTCAGTTCACAATTCGAAAACTGGTGGAACTGAAATCGAACCGGTTTGGATCGATTCTGGTTCCTGGTCGGACCGATTTCGGTTCTCACCGGTTCCGGTTCCAGTTCCTACTGGTTCGGAACCGATGGTTCTGGTTCCGAAAACTGGATTTTAGCCACCCCTAGTTCTACCCATCTCGAAATGGGGGTAGGATAATTGATTTAGGACAGGTTGTTTTTAATATTCTTTATCATGTTTTAGTCTTTAACTGTTTCATAAATTTAAGAAGAAATAATTCAGAAACCTATATATTAGCCTTTTGGCATGCTTAAAGACTTGTCGGCTTCCTTCTTCTTGTCTAGATTGGAAAATGGACTATCTTTCAAGCTTTGGATGTTTAGCTTGGAAGAACTTGGACTTCAAGTCAAAATCAAAGTTCATAGATTTGGGTTTGGATTATTCAAGAGGCTCCAAACTATTAAGATGACTTTTTAGTGATGACTTAGGTGACCAAGGAGGCACCAAATTAAAAGTGTGGCAAAGTTTGAATAAGGGCAAAGTTTCTCTTGAGGAGAACCTCCAAATAGAAAAAAAAAAAGATTAGAAGAAAATGATTTCGAGGAAATATCACCTCGGCAATTTAGAACTCGAGACAACAGGCATGAGAAGAGAGCTAGAAGGCCAAAAGAATGTTTCAACTAAAACCTCTAAAATGTAAGAGAATTGAGTAGTCGACACTGTCGATTGTTATTCAAAGTTGTGTTGTGTTATTTAGCGATGAATAGAGGATTTTTTATATAGGAGAAGGCTTAAAGGTGAAAAAGGCATATTAACGATGTGAGATTACGACATATCAACACCCAAAAATAAGGTTCAACCACCCTGGGCCTTGGTAGTCATCGCTAGTAAGTTGGCAGTTTACTGCCAAGCCTTAGAGGTTACCGTTAAGTGCTTGGTGGTTACCACCAAGTGGTGGAGTGATCATCCTTTGTTTGGGTCAATCTGACTAGTTCAATTGATCCGATTCAGCTCCTTTTTGGTTTGATTGGTCCATGACCCGTTTTAATTTTGAATTTGAAATGTCATATATCGCTGAAAATCTCTTTCTATCTAATTTCTAGTGATACCAAGACTATTCTAAAATTCCAATAGTAGAAAAGTTATGGTTAAAAGAGTTAGCAAAGGTCACCTTTGACTTCTAGGTTAACCTGCAGTTTTTAACCAATTTGCTACCAGTTTGAATCATAGAACTTATAATTGCTTTGCCACAGTTTAAAGGTATAAAAAAAATAATGGTAATTGGTGGTGTTATGGTGCAAATCAAATGCAAATAATAGAATTGGAACATGATGTTGCTAGGATTATTAGATAGGGAAATATTTATCTTATACTTATTTTGTACTCCTTATGTTCTCTTTATTTAGAGAAAATAAAAAAAAAGCTCTTGGATTAAGAAAATTAGTTAAATGAGATTTTCTTCCTAAAATGCCCTTCATTTCTTTATTAATTATGAGAACAATAGCTCATACAAAGGTAGTTCCAAGAAGTACATTTATTACTCACTTGCATCATTTATCGTCACTTCCAACCATCTTTATTAACTCTATCATATTTTACTAGAATTGTGACGTTTTATATAATATGTGCCCGAAAATAAAAAATAAATTTGGAGCCAAATTAAATGCCAAAATTTTAAACTTATTAATTAAAGGCCATAAATTTTCAAAATCCTCGGCGAAAATAAAGGAGGGAAGACTTAAATTTTCGCTCTAATTTATTTAAACTTGAATAGTTTTTCAATTCAAATTTAAAATTAAAAGCAAAATTCGGTTTCTTCAAATTTGAATGAAATTTAAAAAGTAGTGCCCAAACGGAATACATTGTGGCCAAAATAAAATAGAACTTAGAGCTAAATTTTTTGAGTTTACAATCAGACTCCCCGACTTCTAAACTTTGGTCACATAGAAATGAAATCACAGTTAATGATATGATTCAAGGAAAATCTATTCACTTCTCTGTAGCATCTAAATCAGTCGCACCATATCTGGAAATGGCCACTACTTTGCATCCCCCATACTTGAATCCTATAGATAATGAAGCAGAAAGGACTATGATTGTCTATAATATGAGTGACCCCCAAAATTTTGTTCAAAGCAAAGTGAAGTTCACAACTATAATAACAAGGCAACAAAATGACTTATAAAAGTTCATAACCGTTACCTAACACAAAAAATAATAACTATTGAAATAATGCACAACTAATAATAACAAGGTCAAAAAAATGACTTACAAAAGTGTACAACCAATAATAACAAGGCCATAAAATGGCTTATAGAAGTTCACAACTACCTAACACAGAAAACAATAACTACCGAAAAGTGCATAATTAATAATAATAAGGCCACAAAATTACTTACAGAAGTACATGGCTAATAATAAAAAGGTCACAAAGTGGGCTTATAAAAGTTCACAGTTGTTAATTAACATAGAGAAACAAGAATCATTGAAAAATCGCACAAGTACTAAAAACAAAAGGCCACTAAGTGGCTTACAAAAAAGAAAAAAAAGCAAAAGATAATGGGAAAGTGCACAATTACTACCAATAAAAATCCATATTAACCTATTTATTGTCACCACTCTTACCTAGATCAGCATTTATAGCAGCAAGTATGTCCTCCACAATTTTTCCTGCTGGGTCATCAATCTCATTACTTGTAAAAGGATCTTGAGAGTCTATAAACTTCTATCTTGTCCTTTGTGCTTGTGTAGGAGGTTGGATCTCATCAGAGTCTATGAGTGAAATCAGAGTCTATGAGTGCTTGATGATCACTACCTTCGTATGCATCTTTACTTTTTTTTTTTTTACCACTTTTTTGTCCAGTAGGTGTTTCAGAAATTTCAAAATACTGAAGTCAACGTTGTGGCCAAATTTACAATGATAAAACTAGAAATATATTCATCAAACATACAAATAAGAGCTTTGTCAGTGGTGTTTTCAGAAATTGCAAAAATTACTGAAGTCAAACGTATGGTGGCGCAAATTATACAATGATAAAACTAGATTAATTCATCAAATACCAATAAGAGCTAAACTTTGTATTTATGTGGGCCATATGTTTTTGACCTTTTACTATCAAAACTTTCAATTTTGTGGCCCAAATTTATAAAAACGACAACGATTACTATTAAAAAACGAAATGAAAAAATTTTGTGGCCAAATTTATAAAAACGACAACGATTACTATAAAACGAAATGAAAAAGTTAGTTGATAACTTGTTCCTTGAAACATGCGTTTGAGAATATTTATATCTACGACTTTTTTTGATTATTAAACTTCAATCTTAAAACAAACACATACACTCCAAGGGCTTTCTAGTCCTTTTAACTTGGCTTGCATCCCAAAGTTATTATTTAAAGTAAAATTCTCTATATAAAATATATACCCAAAAAGGAAATTTTCTCTAAATAAAAAGAACGGGGGAGTATATAAATACTTATGCTCTCAATAAGCAAAGAGTCATTTTTACTCAAAATGTCAAATCTCATCATGGTATCAGGGCTTGCTTCCTCTCTCTCTCCTCAAACCAAAGGAAAACGATTACTTAGTTTTGTTTGATATTTTCCTCTACTTTCCTGTGTTTTCCATCATTTTCTTCCTTTGTTAAATTAATAGTTCATGGTTTTTTCATTAGTTTTTTCCAAATTTTTTCAAGTTCCTTTCTCAACTTTCGTTTTCTCTCTATTTCATTCTTTTCAACTAATTTGTTCCTTCCATATATCTTGTGAGAAAATAAATTAAAGTCATCATCGTCATTCCAAATCAAAGGTTAGTTTTCTTCATCATTTTCTTTCTCCATTGAACATCAATTCTTCATCAAATTTTTTCTAAATTCAGGTTTTTTTCTCAATTCTTTTATTTTGTTTACTTTCTTTACTCTCTCTATTTCGTTCTTTTCAATTCGATTTAATGATTCTTAAGTTTCTGGTTGATTTTACTAGAATTTCTACTTTCATTCTAGATTTGTTATAGAATTTACCTTGATTGATCTATCTTTGAGATTGTTCTCTTAGATTTCTCACATGTGCTTCTATTTGAGGTTTATAGGTCGATTTCGATTTTAGGGTTTTTTTAAACCCTCTTACCATTGGTTCTAGGGTTTCAACCCTCTTGCCATTGATCTGTGCTTAGATTCAATAGAATCAAGCACTACCTTAATTGATTACTTGATTTGTGGAGTGTTTCCACTTTGATTACCTCTAAATTTGTTTACCATTGAATGTTGAATGTTGATAGTGAACCTTGTTCTTACGTTTTCATCTTTATTCTCTCCTTTCATGTTTAACTCAAGATCTTCTCATTCAGTATCGCTTTCTTCTTTTCATCTTTACTTAATACATCAGTAAAGCTTAAAAAAAAATACCTTAGGTTTTAAGATTTGGTGTCCTAGTGTTTTTGCGTTGTTGCATCTGGATATTGCAAAAACAAGAAAAACTAAAATGGAGGTTTTTGATGAACTGATACCTTATGGTTAATAGTTGCTTAATTCACATTCCTATGTCAAAGATGTGATTGTCCCATTTGGTTATACTGTTGCCGGTACCATATTGGTGTTGGTGATGATGCCCAATCTTTTTGAGGATGTGTCATAGATATGCTGCTTCGATTTCAACTTCTACTATGGATCACGAAGATTAGTGAACTGGTTTTCAAGCATGTGTTGCAGAAAATACGCGGGTTAGGTTCAAATACAGATAAGCAGTACGAGTGCAATGGAAATAATAATAACCCACAGATCAATACTTTTCCCTCTTTGTGCGAATCAAAATGAGCAACAACAATAAACTAAGGCAATACCAATAATAATAGCCAAGCAAAATAACAGATAAACACCAACGCACGACACATCAATTTTTACATGGAAAATCCTCCAAGGATAAGGAAAAACCATGGGCCGTAGTCCACTTCAAAATCCTCCATTAATAACTTAACGGGCTACACAGAGTTCCTTCTAGATCAACTAGAGGCTACACAAATATCATCAAGGCGTACCCTTGGTTAATAAAAATATAATCATCACCAAAACGGTGGATATCAATAACAAATACAAGAGACAGAGTGGTAGATCTCACCAGTTGAGAGAGCCAAACCAAGAATCAAATCCATTCACCTTCTAGAGCTTGGTGAATAGAGCAACATATCATAATTTCTTCAAGATCGGGTAAGGATCGACCGTCCGATCGAGGGAATCAAATTTACTGCTTCGTTTTCTTTTCTTTCTCTCGCATCACTCTCTCTTGTTCCTTTTTTTTCTTGTTTTTTTGCGGCGTCACCTCAATCAAGCACACACACACCCTCTGCCTTTGTTTTTTTTTTTCTTGTTTTCCTGGTATCATAATTTCTTGCACACAAAGCACATGCCCCTTATTTATTTATTTATTTATTTATATATTATAATATAAATATATTATATTATAAAACATATGAGGCGGTGCCCACTTGAATGGGACCACACGCCAACAGCTTGGTGTTCCAGTTTCATTTTTACAGATGCGGCCTTGAAGGATTCAGATATTCACATCCTTTACTATTGGTTGTTGGGGGCGATGATTCCAACAGTTTAAGCGCAAGTCAGGATCAATGTCGTCCTTGTGGGTTAGTAAGAAAGAATAATACTGAGTCCCAGTTTGGAAGCTATATCAATTCTTTCACATTTGTTCCGTTTTACTCCCCTAAATCTCATAGTTGTGTGCATATTCTGAGATTTCGCTCAGTTGTACGTATGGTTCGATATGGCCCTCGGTTCGTAACTGTTGGCCTTGCAACTCAAATATATTGTATTGATCTTGTCACTCGTGAGGTTAAATTCAGTGTTCTTACCTATCCTCCAACTACAGCTCTTACTCCTAGGCATGGCCGGTTCAATGAACCGCCGGTTTCAGTTCATTGAACCGCCGGTTCGAGATGTTTAAAATTTAAATCGGAACCGACCCTTGAACCTCCGGTTCTGGTCCGGTTCTTTTAAAATTTAAATACGGAACCGGACCTTGAACCTCCGGTTTCTGGGCGGGTTTCCGGTTCCGCACGGTTCAAGCACGGTTCCGGCGAACCGACGGTTTCAATGGTTACGGTTCCGATTCGGTTCCGGCATTCGCAAATTTATTTAAAAAAATAATAAAATTTTGATTCCGAATTCGATGAATACAATAATTATAATTTAAAAATGTTTTAAATTTTATTAACTAAATAAAAAATTATTATGAAATTTTAAAACAAAAAACCTTCTTATTAACTTTTGGAATATTTATTACATTAAATTTACAAATTTTGCTAAACTCACTGACTATAGAAATTTCATAGATTTTTTTATTTTGGGCTTGATTAAAGTTAAAATTGAAAAAATATTTAACTTTAATTGCCTACGTTATCCTCCTTGAAAATTAGAGAAAATTCAAAGGCCAATACTTCTTTTTTTTTATTAAATTGGAAAATAACTCCCAATGATTACAATAATCTTCAGTCATCCAGTGCCACTTGTCCCGTTATGAAGTCAGAAGTCCCCGTTAATGAGTCAGAATCATCATCGTCGCTTGAATTTTGCTGGTCTTGAGTTCTCAACGCCGCTCTAGTCCAATCATCAACACACTCTTGCATTTCACATTATTTGGCGATAATCTTGACCATGTTGGATCTAAAATTTGTCCATCCGCACTAAAAGCTTGTTCCACTGCAACAGTAAAAATTGGACAAGCAAGTATATCTTTTGCAATTGAAGCTAAGACTGGAAAGCGATTTGCATGCTTTTTTCACCAACCCAAAATATCAAATTTAGTTGGGTCTTCATCCGCATCATCACCTAAAAACTCAAAATCTGTGCTAATATATGTCTCAATTTCTGTGTATGAATGTGGAGAGCCTCCCTTGATTTTTTTGAAACATTTTGCATGAACGTAAATTGTGTAGAATGAAATTTAGTGGATTGTATAGTTTGTGGATTTGATACTTGAGGAAGGGGAGATACTAATTTAGAATACTCATCATACAATTGACGAACATACCTTAAAACATTATTAGTAAGAGAATTAGTGAAGAGAAAAATAATCTGCCTCATATTGAAAAGATCCATAATAAAGGACGAAAAAAAAGACGAAAAAATTCTTGTAATGCAACTAATTTAAATCTAGGACAAAGAAAAAATGCAACTAAATTTAAATCCGGAATTTCAGTATAATATTTTAACCTTTTAGTTTTCATCATGAATATACATATTCTTGTAAATCATCATCATTTTCATTTTCAATTATGGCACTACTTATGGCCAAACAATAAAATGGAAATAAATGGGAGGTAGGATAATAAACACCACTAAAAATCTCGTACAATTTTCAAAAACTTGCAAAATATCTAATATTTTTTTACAAATAGTCCAATTGGTTGGATAAAGTTGAAAATGTGATGCATGTAATTGCACAAATGAAGAAAGAATATCTTTATATTCATAAGACTCATTTAACATTTTATAAGTTGAATTCCACCTTGTAGGAATATCTCTTGAAAATTTTTTATATTTATATTTTTTTCCCATAGAGTGACAAAAAATTTTAAATTTTTTTTTTAACATATCTATGTATCCATAAATGATTTAAAACATTTTTTATTGGACGTAAAAATACATTTAATATTGTTAATGCATTTTGATCACAAATTTAAAATATGACAAGCACATCTAGTGTGAAAAAATTGTTCACCAAATTTGGGTTGACAAAGAGTTTTTAATTCATTTATTGACGTCGTATTTGCACTAGCATTATCAAAACCAATTGTAAAAATTTTTTTAGTCAAACCATATTCTTCTAAAATAATTTTAACATGGTAAAAATATTATGGGCGGTGTGAGAGTTATCAAAAACTCTAAGTGCAACTCTAAGTACAATAATTCTTTTTTCAAGTTTCCATTTATTATCAATCCAATGGGATGTAACACCCATATAAGAATGAGTTTGCCAAGCATCACACCAAATATCACAACAAATGACAATTTTACCATTAAAATTTGCAAATAAATTTTTTAAAATTTCTTTTTCTTTTAAATAAATAGATAAAATAGTCATTTTAAGTGTATTGCTAGGTATCTTTTTTGCTAAAGGATTTAATTCGCTTTTTACTAGTTATTTAAAGGCCAATTTTTTCACAAATGAAAAAAGAATACTCGTTCCATTATAAACCATTTTAGTCATTGTCAATTTATATTAGTTTCATTCACTATATTTAAATAGAGAAGTTGTAGTATCACCATACCTTTGATGACGGATAATTGAGTTCTGAGTTACATTCATTTCCTACTCACATTGGATGATGTGATTTTAAATGCCTATTGAGAGTTGCGCCATTATCCTTCTCCAAGCTGAATGCATAGGTTCTTTTTTGCGAATAATTTACATCGAAAACCGCCATTTGATAAACCGCATTGATTTCTCCATTATCTTGAACAATTTTTGCAAAGTGCTTCTTGAAAATATCTGATTTTGGTGGTTTACCTATTGAAATATTAGGAGGTATTGCTTCTTGTGGTGAAAAATCAATCAATGGATCATTTGAATTAATTTCTTCCACGCTTTGAGCAACTCGCTTTCCCTTGGAGCTTTGTGAATTGTGTGCCATAATTTTAAATGGAATTATAGAAAAAAAATGAATAAATGGAATATGAAATTAATGGAATTTAGAATTGGATGTATGAAAATAAAGCAATATTAAGAAAAGGAGAGATAGAATATAATTGGTTTTGTGAAAAAAAAAATACAATCGATACATATTTAATTACATATCATTTATGGAGTTTTCCAAATCTGTCCCCTTATAAACAGAAAAAACAATTTATGATTTTTGGATAACTTTAGTAAAATTAAAATAAATAAATAATGATTAATTATAATAAAAACAATTATAGCTGTTTGAACGTTGACCTTGTTAATTGTATAGTCATTTATAAAAATATAGTTCATTTGTAAAAAGAAAAAAAATAGGTATTTGTAAAAAAAAAAAAGTTCAAACGGCTAATTAAGTGAAATGATGATGTTTTTTTCACTACTAAACCTTTTTTTTTTTACCAATTAAGTGAAATGATGATGTTTTTTTTCACTACTTTTTATAAATTAAGTATTATTGCAAAAAATAATTTTGTTTGTAAATCGGGTTCGAACCGGACCGAAACCGCCGGTTTCGGGCCGGTTCAGGTTCATTTTTTAACACTCACATGAACCTTAACCGGCTCTTGAACCGCCGGTTCCGTTCAAAATTTTGAACCGCTGGTTTCGGTCTGGTTTCGGTTCGTCTACAGTACGGTTCGGTTCCGGTTAGAACCGAACCGGTGGCCATGCCTACTTACTCCTATTGTTGCCTTTTGGATTGGAAATATTGTCTCCTTAAAACCCACATAAGAAATTTTATTTCTTAGCAATAGAGGAAAGATACAAACAACGAACCCATAGAGTATATTGGTTTTATCATTTAAAACCCATATGAGAAAATGCAATTTCTTTGCCGCAAAGGAAGGAATAAGGAGACTCATGAAAGCAGAAAGTAACTACGATTCTTTCGTAGTACAAGCACTAGTATGTATATGTTGTGCGGTGCCCACTCAAGTGGGACCCACAATAAATTTGAAAGGAAAATAAATTGAAAAAGAAAAAAGAAAAACAACACGTTTTGATTTATTTTCAAAGGTTGGCATGCCTTTTGACAAACTTGAGTGTCGTGCATTGGTAATGCACGACTCTCTTAAATTCTCTTTGAATCCTCTCCTATAAATAGAGGATATGAGCCAAGCTCAATGCACACAGAACACCAGAAACGAGAGAGAAAATGTAGTGAGAGAGTGTTACCGTTTTAGGATGGGTTCCTAAAACGAGGGAGAGAAAAATAGTGAGGATTATTTTGGGGTGTTTTTTGGAACACTGTGAGGTGCCACTATTTTGTATTACTCTCTTTGTAAGCCTACTATTTTATAAGTGGAAAGAATTATTTCGGTTTTTGTCCTGGACGTAGGCCCTAACAGTTAAAAGGTGAACCCACGTAAATCTGTGTGTCATATTTCTATTTTCCGCTGTGTTATTATTCTCGTAATTTTTATATTGTCGGCCTTAACAAGTTGGTATCAGAAGCTGATGCCCAAAGCTGTGTTATTATTCTCGTAATTTTATTGTCGGGCCCTAACAAGTGGTATCAGAGCTGATGCCCAAACACTAGTACCAGAGCTTGGTTCCTAACAGTTAGGATTATTAGATAGGGAAAGATTTATCTTGTACATAAATAATTCTACTCTCAATAAACAATTTAAGAGTCATTTTTACCCAAAATACCAAAACTACCATCAATTCTGAACATGTCCATTCAAATTGTGGTTAGTTTTATAGTAATTGTTAAAAAAAGAATCTGAGTCTCGGTTCAAATTTTGCCTTTCGAGATCATGAACCCATCATCTCTAGCATCAAATTGTATATTCTTAAATTCCTCAATAAGTTAGTAATTGGTATCTATTTTTACTTGAACCCATTGCAAACACTGAAAAAAAGAAATTTTCATAATTTTTAATTTTCTCCATCCGTTTTTATTTGTCATATTTTAGAAGTTGTTTTGTTTAAAATATTCGTCGCTTTGAGAAGACTAAGGAGTGTTAATTAATTTTTTAATTTTACTTTTACTTCTATTTAACGCCATAATTATTATTATAATTTTCTAAAACCTATCGTAATACATATCTCTTTCTCTAGTTTAATATAATTGTACATTAATTTTGAGAGAATTATTGATATTATAGTAATTAGATGAAATAAAAGGTAATTTAGTCAAATTAAAAGATATTTCAATATGTTTTTTCTATAATTACCTTCTTAATTACCATGTTAGATGAGAAATTAAGGAGTAACATTTTATTCTATTTTCTAAAAAAAAAAAAAAAAGTTTCAACTTTTCTAACAACATTAGCTCTCTCTCTTTTCTCTCTAGTTTTCTAATCATAGTTTTAGTTTGAGGCTGCCATTGTTTATCAGCGGTAGCCCCTACCTTATACTTTCTTTTGTTTCTTTCGCTTCACATTCTTTTGTTTTAATCTTTTTTTGATTTAATAAACTCAGATTGGTTTAATTTGTCTTTTTTGTTTTGTTGTTGGTTGTCTCCGTATTTGGAGTTTTTTGGTTCTTTGTTAGGGTAGTACCTTCTTTATGAGAGTTTATTACTAAATAAAACTATGATATTTGATTTTATTTGGTTGGAGACTTTATATCTTAATTTGCATGTATGAATCTTCGATCGATGAAGCCTGGTGCGGCCTGTTCCTCCATCGATGCTATTGACACATAGCGGTGAAAACTCATCTGTATTCGTCATATGTTGCAAATTATTGAAAAAACAATCCAGTTATAGATGATTCAGATAAGTTAGTATTTTAATGTTCGAATCGAGTAACAGATTAGTTGCTACTATGAAGATTTATATCTTTTGTCAAGATCAACTCTAAACAGAAAGACATAATATTATATTTTTTTAGTTTTAGTTTCATTATTCAAAAGGATGTGAATTCCTTTGTTTCGTTAAAAGATCAGTGAACTCTATTAATTACTAATAGTAAAGTTTTGGTCTATATCCTTATTTGTAATTCTTGATATTATTATTAATGAATTATATTTTTTTAAAAAATATTTTATTCTATTTTCTTACCTTTGAAGTGAGTTTTTGTTCATCCTTTCTGAGTTGAGGTAGGTATGAGATCATAGAATTTTATTAATGGAATATCCATAAACAAATTTTCATATTAATTAGTATTTTTAATATTAAATATAATTCTATTTGTAAATTTCTATATCTTTAATTGTCTAAATCATTAAAAAAAATCATAAATTTTGCAGGTAGTTTTAACTGTATTTTAAATCCAATTTTCTTCTCCTAGTATCCTGAACTTTAATTTTAGTTACAATAATATTCTAATTTCAAATTGTACCTAATTTAATGAATAAAATATTATTTTCATTGGAACTACATAGTCAAGTTTATCAAAAACTCACCATTTAACAACACACTAACTAATATTGATTAGAAATTTTTTTTTTAATTCCTAAAAAGGCAAGTAAAATAATAAATTTTAGTTAGTTATAAGCATAGAATATTAATAATTTTTTGTTTTGTCATTTTTTAAGCATAGAATTTTAGTTAGGGTTTAATGAAATTATACTTAAGTTAGATCTCTTATTTTTATGTGTTTTATTTATTATGGTATAATTTTATTTTTAGGGAATCATTATCTATTTTTAAGGTGAATATATTATTTTTTTATTTTAATATTGGGTACAATTTGAAATTAGAGTGCTATTGTAATTAAAGTTGAAATTCAGGGTACTAGTAATTAAAGTTGAAATTCAGCGGTACTAGGAGAAGAAAGTTATATTATTTTTTTATTTTAATATTGGGTACAATTTGAAATTAGAGTGCTATTGTAATTAAAGTTGAAATTCAGGGTACTAGGAGAAGAAAGTTGACTTTATAATACAATAAAAACTAGCCCGCAAATTTGGGAATTTTTTAATGGTTTAGTCATTTTTAATCTAACATTGGTAGTTTATAATTTATTTGCAAGTTTTATTAAATTTGTAGGATTCGAATACATTATAATGAATTTAAATCGCACCAATAATAAAAAATTTTAGAAGATTATTCCCGTACATGTAAATTTAAACTTGCAATTAACTTTGATAAAGCTTTGTAAAGTTATTTATATGATAATATCTATTGGTTTGATTTTTGGAGTCCGCAATCTTATGGTTAAGCTAACAGATTGATTTGGAATTGGCGAGCATACCAACTGTAGGCAGTACACCAATTGTATGCAGCACACCAATTACAAAAATAATTTACGGTGATTTAAATTTTAGTTTGTGGGTTTGGATTCACGTATCTATATTTTACCAACCGTACAATTAGTATAAATTTGAACAAAGAAATGTTAAAAAACTTAAATTACTTGGAATAAAATTCAGCTTGTAATTACAGAAAATGTAAATTGATGTATGCATTTCATGCAAACACTTTTGGGATTAGTTTTAGATTAGCTTGTTATATATTTTGTCATTTTGACATTAATGAATTTTATTTATGTTTTAGATATTGTGATTTCTCATTTTGGGCAGATTCACCAATTGTTTGAAGGAGCTTCTCCTAATCTGATTGCTAAAATAATGTTCCACTACCTTAATCTTCTCAACTATCAACTTCTTTTTTTTTTTTTTTCCTTTTTGGTTACATAAGAAAGCAAGAAGAAAAGGAAACCTATCAACTTCCTTTATCCTTTATCACTTTCTTTAATTAATTAACTAATTAATTACGTAAAAATAGATTGAACTACAATTAATTAATAACCCATGCATCATTTAAATCCAAGTTTATTCCTTAAAATCTAAAGCCTAAGCCCAAACTCACAAAATGCGTTAATATAATAATTTTGATTTACTTATATAAAAGATTCAAAATGATCTTCCAATAAATTTCTTTCGGATTTTCTTTTGGTACTTGTTGGAGTTGAGCCACTAAAAGTTATGATTATATTATAGAAAGATACATTTCAATACATATTGACAACTCAGCTAGCACAGGAATGTCACACGCAGCTGTGCTCTTATTGTACGATATCCTTATTCTAAATACACATGTAAGCAAATAAATACATAGCATCGATGATCAAAGTAGCGGTAACCATCTCTGGTTGCGTCCTCCATTGAATGGCCAAATGATTACTTCCTCAAGGCTTGGATCTATCTTTTTAACATCCATTACCATTCCATTCTGTAAATTGAAAATTATGCCATCGTCTCGAAACGCCCAACGCTGACCAGACGATGCCAAGGAACAAGAATCGATAGTAAAGATCGTTCCTTTGGCATCTAATTTATTGCAAGTAAGGCAGTCATCTTTATTCTGTTGTGGCCGTATCGAACCATCTGCATACAAAGCCCATTTTTGCTCTGTTCTGTTACTTACACACTCCACAACCCATACTTTTGTTCCGTTTGTTTGCAAGCAAAGATCATTTTGCCCAAGAATGGGTGAGCGAAAAGGTTGTGTATTATTAGTGGCAAGAAAACCTTGACTAGAAGCATAAATGTTTTTCTCTAACGTTAATAATGCACCTTTATCTCCTGAATTTACCGTCAAAACTAGCCCAAATTGAGGGTTTATGATGGTTCCATTGTCCCATATTGCCCACTGAGTAGCATTATGCATTGCAGTTTGACAATCATAAATCACTACATTATTTCCTGCTGGATTAGACCCATTAGCCGTCAAGCACTTCCCATTAGATTGCAGTGTTCCATCTCTTTTCAAGGTCCATAGTTGATTGGCTGCAGGTTTAGATTTGCATGGCCACATATGAATTTTGTTTCCATCACTATAAATTTCATCGCTCACATCAAGACATAGACCATTTCGACCAAGAATACGCACTGTAGGCTCAAAATCAGTTGCACAACCACCACCACCAGATGAGGTTGAATTATCTTTGCAACTGATAAATAACATGAGCCCCAAGTTGGCAACTAATTCTCTAGTCACGCTATCCAAATTGAACTTAACGTTCAACCTTTGTAGTTGAACTGGCTCGGAAAAAACTCCTCCTCTAGATTCTTGAACTGCAGTTGAGAGAGCTTCCCAGTTGTTCTCAAGGCTGTAGATGGTACCATCTGGGCGAAATCTTTGCCCTTTTTCAGTGCTCCAACGCACTTGATGTTCGATGTATCTGAATCTCGCTGCTTCTGAAACCATTTGCATAACAACTATCAAGCAGGAAGCCAAGTCCTCTGTCTTAATGTTGTTAGCAACAATGTTGCTGACAGCTTCATTTAGTGGCAATAGTCCCAGATCAATTTTACTTCTTGGCATACCTGTACTATTTTCAAGCTCACCATAGCTACTTCCAAATGGAAGCGTATTTTGCTTTGTGTCATTGAAAAGATTAGAAAATGCAAGCTTATCATTAAAGAAGTAGGATTGATTTTGAAACCCATAAGCAACTACACCTGCAGTGGCAACATCCAGAGCTAATGTAATGGGTGTTGTAGCTGAACTTGAAAGTTTGAGTAAAAGAAACCGTTGCGAAACAGGCAAAGTGGATATATCGGGCAATACCGATATTCCATGGATTTGGTTTCCGCTTGTCAATTGATCTCTTACAGATTGAAGAAATCTTGTATAGCCCTCCTTGTCTTTGACGTTGATAGTGAAATTCAGCGTCGGATAGCCAAGGCTATTGTCGTTTGTACCATCTTCCGCTTTTGATGTGCAGATACAAGTTGATGCAAATATTACAGTCCAACAAAGCCATGTCCATACCTTCATGTTACCTTTAGTTCTCAGAGTGTAGAACATTTACAATTTTTATCCACCTGTCAACAAAAGAAAAGAAGATGCTCAAAGTTAATCTAGCTTATTCATCAATAATTAACAAAATAATCAAACTAATTTCATGAAGAGCAAATTAGGAAAATAAAATTTATTTTTTTATATATAACGCACACAAGCACACAAGTACAAATTATAAATCAAATTCAGGTTAAACTGAATTGAACCGGTAAAACCTAAATTGGTTTGAGTGGTTGATGATTCACTTAGTTGAATTTGACCATTTTCAAATAATTGAGAAATTCGAATTGAATCGGTTAGTCTAATCTTAGTTTAAAAACCATAGATAAGAGGAAAAATACTTCCAAAATAAAATAAATGTTATAGGAATGTTCTAATCTGAAAACCATTGAATTAGAATTTGAAGAAAATAGAAACATAATAATATATCTAAACTCAACTACTACAAATTCTTAAATGAGGAGGTAAATTACTTCTAAAATAAGATAATAAAAAAGTGCTACTATAAATACGTTCACATATGAGAAAGAGTTATTTTATTATCTAATTAGAATTTAAATAAAATAGAGACATACTTTATATAAAACTCAAGTACATTCAAATTCTATAAAAGAGTATAAGTTGATCGATTTTTGACTCTAGTCGGTAATAGCTTTTCAAGTAATTTTTAGTATTTTGACTAGTCAAAATGCTAAATGCTATTTTTTATAGTATTTAATAATATAGCATTTGAAATACTCAGGGAATTAAAGCTTATTACTTTACGTTGTTCATACTAACTAGTAGTTGAGCACCATAGTTATCCTAATAACCATTAGTTAGTTGATGCACATTAAAATATAAAATCAATATTAATAATCTACATAATTATTTTCAGATGCTATGTATCATAATAAATAATTATTAGATATTATTATACCAAAATGTAATATTTTTTATTTATATAACATATCAAAATGAAAAATAAAATATACACACACCACATATATAAACTATTAATGTTTAAAAATATATAATTTTGCTAGTAATTATTTTTATAAATTATATATATATATATATATATATAATAAAATATACACACACCACATTATGATTAAACTATTTAATGTTTTAAAAATATATAATTTTGCTAGTAATTATTTATAAATTATATATATATATTATTATATAATATATCGCGCTAATAATTGATAAAAAAAATTTGTTAAATTACAGTTGATAGGAATGAAACTAAATTATATATATATATATATATATATATCCGCTAATAATTGATAAAAAAAATTTGTTAAATACAGTTGATAGAATGAACAAATTATTATGATTTCTACCGGTTATTAACTCCTAATTAAAACATTAACCAAAAAATTACAGAAATCAGTTGAACTAAATACAGCTCTTTATTTCATGCTAATTGCAATAGAGAATAGCTAGTAATAGTAAATGTATTTAAAAAAAAAAAAAAAATTAAGTATTGTGGTTCAATGAACGAAAATTGGGAACCCTATCGAGCTTATAGGGGTCAACAAGGACTCTACATATATAAGAATTGAGAAAAGCTTCATTACTTACAAAACAAGTGAAGAAGCAAAATAGATAGAGGTGGCTTAATTCTAGGATTGCATATTCATCACCTTTTATATTGGGTAAATGGGTTCCTGTTTCCTTTTTTTTTTTTTTTAAGCAATCCACAAGATATTTACTCATGGTGGCAAATGATGATTATAACAATAATGCTGATTATTGGAATTTTGTGGAAGATGACAAAAGACATATTTTCTTTTCTTTTAATTTTTTTTTTTCAATTTCCCTAATTTGAGGCTAATAGTTTTTTTTTGTCACTTAATAATATTACTTATATATGTATCATATTAAATTCATTTTTTAACTTTAATTAAAGATAAATGATTCATTCTGAAATTCATAAAAGTTATGTTTGTTTTAAGAATAACGTATCTGTAAAGTATTTTGTAAAATTTTCAATATATTTGAAATATCATGAAAATCAGTCAATAATATTAAATTTTATGGTTAGAGAGGAAACTAAACCATTTTAAAAAAAGGAAACATTTCGAAGGTAGTAAAAGAAAAGTTTATAAAATATAAATTATTATTTTTTCATTAATCAAGGGTAGTGCTGATCAAACTGATTAAACTGAACCAATTTAATTCGGTTGGTTTTTCACAAGAAGTTCAATTTTGATTTAAACATGTCAGATGAAATTTTCTTTGACTCGGTCTAGATTTCACAAAAATTAAAAAGTCCAGCTCAAAATTGAACCGACTCATAAAACCTAAAAAACTTGCTCAAATCAACCAAATTGATTTGATTTGAATCAATTTAATTTTGATATTTATCACGGTTCGAGTCGATTTTAATTTTTAAAGTTGAGTTTGAATTTGTTTACTTTTCTTGATGATCTGCACAACCCTAATCATGAGCAATTCTCATTATTTACAATTGCTTAAACACTAATCGTGGTCATCTCTAATGACTATTGGCAGCACTATCATGGTGTGATGCGTATCGCAATTTATCATTTTTATATATTTTATATTTAGTAATAAATTTTAAAAATATAAAATTTTTATAATTGAAATATTTTATGAACTTATTAAATTCTAAGTTTGAATATTTTGTAACTCATTTTTTTATTACAATAAAACAATGGAAAATAAGTTAATTAAAAAATATTTCTTTTCCAAATAAAAGTTATTCTTTCCGAAATAAAAAGGAGTCCAATAAAGTTATTCACTAGAGGTCTGTTGGCCAAAATTAGTTATTTTAATAACTGTTAATTATTTGAGTAGTTTTTCATAAAATACTAAAAGTTAAATGTTATATGAGTTAACTTTTTATAACACGCTAAATTAACCTTTAAAAGATAGCTTAAGGGTTTTTCAACAAAATTAGCTGTTTCGGTAGTTGTTACCTATTTTAGTAACGTTTATTATTAGTTGTTTTAACAGTGTTTACCTGTTAGCTATTTTAGTAGCTTTTCATGAAATATTATAAGTTAAATGTTACATGAGTGGAGTTTCTATAAAATGGTACCCTAAAAGCTAGTTCAAACGCTATATCACTGAATAATTTTTTAAATAGCATTTTGCAGTTTGACTAGTCAAAACGCTAAAATTACTTAAAAAAACTGTTACTGAATACAGTCTAAATGCTATATTATTCAACACTATAAAAAATAGTGTTTAACATTTTAACAGGTCACAACGCTAAAAGGTAGCCAGAAAAACTATTGTGCAGCACAATCTAGGAAAGAGAACTGATGTTTTTAGTTTTTTAATCAAAATGAGGAAACCGGACCATGAATGGTTAGTTTGAAAGCAAACGGGTAGACAAACCTGATAAATGAAGTAAAAATTATGCTATGCTATCACTTTCAACAAAACTAAAATTTCTGCTACAATATCACTTTCAACAAAACTCTCAACAATTTGTGTATAAACATAATTTAATTTCTGAACTTTGATAAAAAAAATTTATTGTGACACTGTAACTTCATTTCTTATTAAGAGAGGAAATTTAAATCTGAATCTATTGTTAGATTGTACATGTATTTAAAACTAGGCTGTAGCTTAACGTGTTACTAATAATCCCACATTTGCTCACACTAGCAACAATAATTTTTTAATATTTTTTGCTTTTATATTTAGAATATTGATCTGATATGTTATTAACACTATTTTTGTAACAATAATTTTTATATTTTTAATTATCTGAAAAGTGTTTATTCAATTTAATTTTATAAATTGAAATATTAAATAAGTCAAATTCAAATGTCTAATACGTATAATTTTACGAATTAAATTATTTAATGAATCTAATTAAAAATAAAAAAATGCCACAAAATGTTTCGTAAAACAGTACATTAATAAATTTTATGCATTATGTTAGCAAATTCGAAGGCAAGAACTTCCGTGAATGCCTGGGCGGCCATGTCCTTCCCCACTCTACAATTATTTTAATTTTTTAGCCCCATAAGAATTTCTAATCTACAAATATTTCTGCACTTATTTTTTCGGATTATGAAATATTTCAGTTCTTTTACAATAAAATCATTAAGATTCTATTTAATTTCAAAAGATAATTTAAGTGAAAAATATTTTTTTGAATTTCGGATATTTAGAAAATAAGGTAAATCATTAATAAAAAATATATTTTCTTGTTGAATTTCGGATATTTTTTTGATTCTATTAAATCATTTTATTGTTTTTTTATATATTTTTTCTTGTATTTAAAAGTAATATTAACTATTAAATTTATAATTATAAATATTTTCTTAGTCCAATAATTTAAAATTTTTAATATATTTTAGTTAATTTTATATGTAAAAATTTGGTTGAATGATACTGAGTTGAATCCAAATCTCTATTTTCATCGATTCAAAGAATGATGATTTATGAGAACAGTGGTAAATGTTTTAATTATTACTATTTTTTTCCTCCACTTTCTTTGTGTTTAATTTTAAATTTTAAACCCGCACTAATTGTTAGAACAACTGGTCCAACACGACAACCATCACTGACATTAGGACTTTAAACCTAACTAGTATTATTACTTCATATTATAAGGCAGTGGACAATCAGAGTAAGCTATTAGGACAGGCACTGATCGAGTGTGTGAGAAACGTGGTAGAGCAATTTAGCAAATTGAGATTATGAACTAGAAAAGTCTGTTTCGCGATTTGGTTGAAACTGTCTTTTTCTCAAAAAGCTTCCTTTTAAATGATACAACATTGTTTTGCTAAATTCGTTGCACACTAATTAAAAAAAAAAAAAATTGTATCATTTTAATTTTAAGAAAGATAGAGATAATTAATTAAATTATTATTTAATTGATATTCGTTTAACTGAGATAAAATTTGATAGAGATACCTAAATAATGGTAAAGTTTAAAGACAAAATTATTATTATTTTAATGAAAAAAAATATAAAAAAAAACTGTCAAATGTATTAGAAAAAAGAGAATGTTATTTTATCAACTAGGTATCTAGTTGGTCTTTTCACTCATTTGAGGAGTGAGAGATATTGAATTTGAGTCTTCTTGGCCACAAGAGTTTTTCTCAATTTAGTAATTTAAGGAGAGAGTTATCTCATATTCTGTGTAGGCACCCATCTTGTTATTCAATCCATTGGATCTCCTTATAAATAAATAAGAGAATATTATTTTTTTAAGAAAGAAGTAAATCGGGTCGATATTTATGAAAAGAAGGGAGTAGTCAACTATCCAGAGAAATATTAATAGGTCAAGTACTAAACAAAAGGATGAACAGACAAATATTGGAAAGAATTATTTCATTAAAAGAAAACTTTCTAGAATATCTCTTTTAAATGCTTCTCTATATAGATTTTCTGGAATATTTTCAAATTCGTTTAGGAAAGTGAATCTCAATGGAAGAAATCTTTTAGAAATAGAAAACTATTTAGATTTTATATTTTTTCCCAATTAGGACTCTCACAGCGTCTAAATAGGACTCTAACTTTAAAAAGGCATGTCTCATAATATCTTCATGCAGATTCATATAGGCAGTACGGGCTTAATATGAAATCTCAACCCAAGTTAAACTCTACAGAGTAATATTGCTGGAATAAATTTGTTTTTTTTTTAAGAAAAAGAAGAAACGTTATCTTATTTTTATAAAATGTGATTTGTTTAGGAACGATTTGTCTTTTTAAAACATCACTTATTTAGAATATAATTGGATTAAAAAAAAAGTTTTTGAGTGTTATTTGACTGTCTTGAAATTTTTATAACAATGAACACGCATGTATAGAACTTTTGGCCTAAACTACAAACCAACTCTGAACTATGCAGCTTGTTGTAAAATTACTCTAAAACTATGTTTGTACCCTGGACACCACCATTTGAAAAAAACTTAGATATACTGACACTCTAATTTAAAAATTAAATCATAAAATGAAGTGATATTTAGTGTGGGATCTACTAATTTACCTTGGGTTGGCTTAATCCACTAAACTAAAAACTCACCCTAGTTTGCTTCCCTAATCCAAAAATCTCTCTTTTACAAACCAACAATTCATCTTCTAAAATCTCAAATAGTTATTGAGCTTTCAAACTCTCTAACGCTCGCAAAAAATCACTATAGGAAAGGCCAACAGATCCTATGAGAGATTTGTCGGATGCATGATAAAAGGGCAACCTTACTTCTTAACGTGAATCAGGAGCTAGTAACTGATTAGATAATGGTTAATATAAATTTTATTATGACTTGTATTTTACCAATGGTGTTTGGTTGCTAACTATTACAGTTGAAGGAAAGTGTTTCTCAATTCGCACAAGACAATATTGCTTCTCGTGCATCTAAATAGATCAAACTGATAATTTCCATAGGTAATTGAATGAGACAATTTTAAATAGCTTTTATGATTATTTTCAACCCTAAATTTGGTGTTTCTGTTATAGAAAGTCACTATGTGGAAGCTTACAGGAGATTTTATAATCTCCATGGAATTACTGCACTAGATTTATTTATTTTATTTTATTTTTAATTTTGTGATCTTCCTCTTTGCTTTTATTATATGAGAAATGACAAATTAAAATCTAGTTAATAGAATATTATGCATTTA